TTCCACTTTATTTACACTTGATCATCAATTTCCTTTCATTGATTGTAACACTCCTCCTTGTGATACATGTCATTTTGCCAAGCAATGAAAGCTCTCTGTTCCTATAAGCACTACTAAATCGAATAAAATTTTTCAGTTAGTTCATGCTAACATTTAGGGTCCCTTTCATATTCCTTCTGTTCATGGCCATACATATTTTCTTACCTTAGTTGATGATTTTAATCATTATACTTGGACTTATTTGATGCCTGCTAAATCTCAAACTCGCCAACATTTACTTGCTTTCGTCTCCCGTATTGAAATACAATTTAATACGAAACTTTAGATGTTACATACTGACAATGGTCCAGAATTTTCCATGAACTCATTTTTTGCTTCCAAATGCATCATTCACTAAACCTCATGTGTCGAAACCCCTCAATAAAATGGCCTTGTTAAACGTAAACACCAACATCTACTTAATGCTGCTCAAGCCTTACTATTTCAAGCTAACCTTCCCAAGTCATGCTGGTCATATGCCCTCTCTCATGCTACTTTTCTCATCAATCGTCTTCCATCTCCTGTCATGCACAACAACACACCTTTTCAGCTTTTGTACAATCCTTTACCTGATTTTCAAGATTTCAAAGTCTTTAGTTCTTTCTGCTATGCTTCTACCTTCTCTACTAACCGTACCAAATTTGACCACATGGACCACAAGTGCTGCCTTCTTGGTTATCCTCTTGCCACTAAAAGATAAATTTTACTTTACTAACAAACTAGACACATTTTGCATATCTCATCATGTCCTTTTCCATGAACTTGTTTTTCTTTTTTCCTCTCCTTCCTCGCCTACTGATTTCTCTTCTCTTTCTCTTTCTACACCTTCACCTTCGTTTCTTAATGATCCTTCTCTCCCCTTATCGTCTCCCTGCCCTTCTTCATATTCTCCTCCTCTTCCTTCTATTCCTTCTCTTTCTTCTCCCTTTTCTCCTTCTCCAGTTTTTGATACACAACATCATTCTTCTTCTCTATCTCTGCGGCATTCAAAATGAACAAGAAAGCCTTCGAGCTACTTGTGAGAATATCATTGCTTCAACACCTCGGCTACCTCTCCATCCACCAGTTAGTCTACTTGTCATCCTTTTTCCTCTGTTTTATCTTATCATTCTTTGTCTTCTTCCCAAAAATACTTTCTTTTCTCTATTTCTTCTAATGTTGAGCCATGTACTTGTAACCAAGCTTCCAAACAAGATGTTTGGCTTAAGGCTATGGATGTTGAAATATGAGCGTTAGAAGCCAATAAGACTTGGATTCTTACCCCTCTTCCTCTTAGTAAACAACCTATTGGTTGTAAATGGGTCTATTACAAGTATCATTTTGATGGTTCTATTGAACGTGCTAAGGCCCGATTAGTTGCAAGGGTTATACACAAACTAAAGGTATTTATTATCTTGACACCTTCTCTCCAGTTGCTAAAAAATGACCATTGTTCGTCTCTTGCTCGCTTTAGCTGCTGCTAAGGGTTGGCATCTTCATCAATTAGATGTCAACAATGTTTTTCTCCATGGAGATCTTAATGAGGAAGTATACATGGTTCTGCATTCTAGTTTTCTTCTCCCGATCCTTCTGTGGTTTGTAAGTTGCAAAAGTCTCTATGGGCTTAAGCAAGCTAGCAGACAATGGTATTCTAAGCTTTCTCAGGATTTTGATTTCCTATGGGTACACTCAATCTAAGTCTGATTATTCTCTTTTTGTACGCAAAATTGCTACTGCTTTCACTGCTATTTTGGTTTATGTTGATGATGTTATTCTTGCTGGTGATGATGCTTTTGAAATTGCTCGCATTAAGTCTCTTCTTGATGATGCTTTCAAGATTAAAGGTTTGGGTGAACTAAAATATTTTTTTGAGCCTTGAGGTTGCTCGAAACAAGACTAGTATTTCCCTCTGCCGACATAAATTTGCCCTTGATCTTCTTTCTGAAGCAGGTTTTTTGGGTTGTAAGCCTCATAAAACTCCAATAGACCTCTCTTAACCTCAGTCATGACTCTGGGACTCCTCTTACTGATCCTGATTGTTATAAATGTCTTGTTGGTTGACTTCTCTACTTGACCACCACTCGACCTGATCTCTCTTTTGTAGTCCAGCAGCTTAGCCAATTTACTTCATATACTACTACATAGCATCTTCAAGCTGCTCATAGAGTGCTTAAATATATCAAAGGATCACCTAGGAAAGGTCTCTTCTTTCCTTCTTTCTTTGATTTTTAGCTCAAAGCCTTAAGTGACTCTGACAAGGCTAGCTGTGTTGACTCCAAACGATCTATAACTGATTTTGCTATTTATTTGGATCACTCTTTGATTTCTTGGCATTCTAAGAAGCAGGCAACTGTCTCTCATTCTTCTTCTAAGGCTGAATATCGTGCTTTAGCCTCCACTACTTGTGAAATACAATGGCTCCTTTACTTGCTTCAAGATATTCCTCATCCAAAGCCTGCTCTTTTGTACTGTGATAGTCAATCAGCTTTTTAGATTGGATCAAATCCGACTTTCCATGAAAGAACTAAGCACATTGAAATTGATTGCCATCTTGTTAGTGACAAAGTTCAAGTTGGCATCATCCATCTCTTACCTATTCGCTGTCAAGACTAGCTTGCAGATATCTACACTAATCCCCTTGCTCCTGCTCTCTTTTCTTCTATCTTGCTCAAGCTGGGTCCCTATGATATTCATGCACCAGCTTTAGAATTGTAATGATTTAGTTAAGTTAATCTGTTTTATTTATTGTTAAGTAAATAACAGTAATTAGTTAGAGGATTAGTGTGCGTATATACCAACGTGTAGTGTACTTTCAGAGCAGGTTAATGCAAATAACTTTTCTCACTTCTCCGTGCCAAACACGTGATAACTTGCGAAACTTTTTCCCGAAAAAGGGGGGGGGGGTGGCTGCAAATTGTTAACCATATCATCCAGTCTATTGTTGAAATCAGTGAGAACGAGAGGAAGTTGCAATTTATTAATCATATTGTCATATCCATCCAGTCTATTCTTGCAATCAGGAGATTCATTCGAAGTTCAAACTATGTGAGCTTACCTAGAGCTATGATAATAAAATATGAAATATTTTTGTACGATACATCAACAAGTGAAACAGGATTCTCAGCTTTTCCGGCAAAGCTTCTTTTTAGTATTGTTCAATGAATGCTCTCACCCATTTTTTAAGCCCCGTTAATATCCATCTCATCCATAGGCCAATCAATGCATTACCTGATGCATTCACTGTTTCACCGAACGATCAACAGTTGGAGGGGTTTTCATTTTCAAGTCATGCAGATAAATTGTCCAACAGTCTCCATGTTAATGGCGCGGCTTATTATTGGCATTAGAATATCAATGTAGCCCCTAAAGTTCCACCTTTAAAACTACCATCATGTCACCTGAGTTAATCACAATACCCAGATAATGATCATAATGAAGTAATTTTCATATTATACAATGGCCGTAACAATATGAATGATTCTTAAGAAATTACACAACAGGAAGCAACTGGGTAAACGATTTTTCTAGAATGATCACTAGTAGTCAACAGAAAAACATAAACTTTGATTTTCAGCATCAATAACTTTTTCTCCTTTTTTTTTGTTAATTACAAGTGTTGGCAGGTAGAATCGAACATACGATCTGTCACCTGCAAGGGCAAATGACATGCCACTAAACCATAAGGTCATTGATTTTCAGCATCAATAATTCATTTCAACATCATAACAACTGTGAACATTTCCGAAACAAAAGGGTTTTTGCAACCACTGCAATATTTATTCACAACTTAATAAAAAGCACAAATTTATCACTAACGAAGCAAAAGCAAATGAAAGGATACTTTATCTTCCTAAGGGCAAGCAGAAAAACCCTAAAACAATGACAAAAGAACTTAAATTAGAAACTTAAACATGCATTAAAAGCTGCCCAATTCCATTCCATGGTTGCTCTCAAACAACTTGGTTGATGAAATGACAACCCCGAGATGTTATCTGAGATTCAAAATATATGCTTGTGTTTAAGTGAATAGATCAAGTTCTAACATGTGATAGCACAATTTGCCATACACAAATATACGCATTTGCATGCATACATGCATATGAGAGAGCTCTAGTTTGTCAATGCTTAACACTCACAACATTACCACAAAACCAACACACAGTAACAGCTTCAGTAGCACGGTCTCCAAAAAGAATTCATTAAGAGAAAGTGAGTAAAGTGCAGGATTATTAGTCCTAGAAAAGAAAAGAACAGAAAAAAGGAAGAGATAGGGAAAAAAGCATTAGCTGAAAAGAGAAATCAAGACACTACGCAGATCAAACAATTATACCTGTAGGAATATCATGTACTGAAAACCATAAAGCTAAAATATACCTATTTCAAACTACATATCTGGCTAGATATTCTGGCAATTTCCTCCAACCAACATTACACCTGCAGAAAAAGCCCAGAAAACAAGCTAAGCAAATGCTAATATTATGCTTTAAGTAAGAAGTTACCATCGAAAAGAGAGAATCCTCTGTAGATCTTCGAAGGTCAGAAACAAAAACAAAAAAAAAAATTCTCTGTAGATCTGCAAAATCCACCTTTTGGCATAGGATACAATTGACGCAATTCATTGCACATGGATGACTATTAGTTGCAGAGGATAAGATCTCCTTTTATACAATTCATTGCACATCTTCAAAAACTAGCAACTTATGTGGTAACACTGCAGGTTTCGAGCACAAAAATAGAACTAGAAGATTTCAAATAGCGAATTACATTGATGGCATCCGTCAAGAAATAAGATTTAATAGTTGCATGTTCTCTTGCATATGTTCAATTTACCAAAACAGAAGTCTTTCAATCAACGATATCTTCATGGGAATATTAGTTGCAAAGGATCATCCATAATGTTGACTGCGTAACGCATCCAAACGTGACATGCTGCATTATCACACTTTATTGAAACTTACAGAGAAACATATCCATCCGTAAAATAGATGCCCAATTCCATTAATATTAAAGGGGAAGATTATTTATAAAGTTCCTATATTCGTGCCTATCCCGGGCTGCTCCAAAAATCTGAAGATCTATCAGAATAAAATGTGCGAGTAAAGACTAAGAAAAACACTTACCATTTAAAGTAAGTCCCCAGCAAATGTCAATTTGCACTATCTCTCGTATACAAAGAAGGGGGATGAAAACCTTTAAAAGCGTCAAATATGAAGACACAAGATGTAATGAATTGAGAGATTAAATTTAAACAAGCTTCTAATATTCTTGAAACACATTGTCTCCTTTGTCAGCAGATAAGTAAGTAATAAGTAATTCTGTTGTGGCAGCATCAACAGAAAAACCTTTATCTCTTATTATCTGAACGTATTTCCTGGACCTTGAGATCTCGTCTTTCTGCAGCAATCCTTGGACCAAAATATTATAAGTATAACCGTTAGGGGCACATCCATTCTCTTCCATACTTGTCACTAAGTCTTCAGCTTCATCTACTAGTCCTTCTTTACAAAGACCTTTAATCATTATATTATATGTCCAACAAGTAACCTGCAACCCTTTAACTAGCAAACGAGAAAAGAGTGCCCATGCGTCATTCAGTTTTCCAGAATTGCACATTCCATCAAGCAAAATATTGTAGATCACAATATCAAAATCCAAATCCAACTTCTCCATTGCCCCAAACAATGATATTGCCTCAGAAGGAAAATGGCACTTGAACAGTCCATCCAAAATAACGGCACAAGTCTGGAGACTGGGAACTTGGCCATACTTGTGCATATTAAAAAACAGTTCTTTTGCAGATAGCGGTTTACCCACTTGGCAAAGTCCACCTATAAGAGAGGTCCAGGTGATAACATCTGGAATAAATCCTTTATTCACCATTTCATCGAAGAGATGCATAGCCTTAGTCAAGTTTTTAATCTTACACCATCCATGGATCAAAGAGTTATAAGTTACAGTGTTTGGTAAACAGCCCCTGTCAACCATCAGATCAAATACTTGCATGGCCTCCTTTAGCTGCTTTTGAATACAATATCCACCGATCAATGAATTATAGGTGACAACATTAGGCTTCTTACCCATTTGAATCATAATACCAATTATGCTTTTAGACCTCATAACCATTCCCTCTTTGCAAAAAACATCTATTAAAATATTATAAGTTTGCACATCTGGCATGACTCCTTTTTCCATCATTTCATTCAATAAAGTCATAGCCTCTTTCCATCTATCATAATTACAAAGACCATGAATTAAGCAAGAGTAAGTGACATGATTAGGATAAATACCTTTGCTGGTCATTTCTGAGAACAAATTTAATGCCTTATATATCAATCTATCCTTGCACAAGCTATCCACAATTGTGCTGTAAAGTACAACATTGAGTTTCCAATTTCTTTTTTCCATCTTCCTCAGATATCCAATAGCAGTAGATGTGTTTCCGATCTTGCAGAGTCCATTTATTATTGCTCCATAGGTGTAAATATCAGATCGATATCCAATCTTTTCCATATGTTCAACCAAACTTATAGCTTGAACAACATTGCCTTCTAAGCAAAGTCCATTAATGAGAGTGGTAAAAGTCACCACTGTGGGTTCCAAACCAACTTTGAACATAGTCCCCAAGACTGAGAACCCAGAAGCTGTCTGCTTCAGATGGCAAAGACAATTGATGATAATACCAAGTGTACAGACATCAGCTCTCATTCCTAAGGAATACACATGTTTAATTAAGGAAATTGCTGTAGTGTAGTGCTTCATCCTCACAATCACTCCAATCAGTAACGCAAAGTCCCTCTCATGTGGCACAGGCTTCATTCTAACCATTTTATGAAATAAATCTAAGGCATCTTCAACCTTTTTAAACTGACTAGACCTGCATTGATTTCTCATAGAATTCAAGAACTTAAGTCTATATTGTCTTTCACCCATTTCAACATCACCAGCAGTGGTGCAATAAGTTGGAAAAAATGAAAAATAAGAGATACCAACACACAGAAAGTGACAGGAATAACGCCATAGGAAACAAGGAGAGGATCGGTAATTAGCAATAGAACTGATGTCTTGGAGAATGGGAAACCAAAAAATATAAGCTATTTTTTGTAGCATTGCTTTCCTGTATCATTGAGTTTCAGCTCTTTTTCTTCCAAACATCACTACCTCATCTAGGTTTATAATTACAAATACTAGACACAAGAGGTGAAGTTGTCGCAGTTAGGTTGCAATGCTTTGCTTCTTGAGGCTGGGTCAGGTATTGTTGATGTCGAGGTTGTTTCATTTTCTCTGCTTAACTTGCTGTACGGAAAGGACACACTCAGTAATATTATAGAAATGTTGGGCAAAAAGAAGATAAAAGACATACAACAGATACAATGTTCAGAAACAAAATAATAAACTTCATAATACACCATCAACTCAGCAAAATGTTGTACAACAGAGCAGTTATGATACTCTGTCCATTTACAAACTATTTATCATTTCATTTTTAAATTGAGGATCATACTATTTCTAAAGATTTGTCATTGAAGAATTATTAATGCATTATTTATTTATAATTAGACATCTTCTTCTGACAAGCTATTATTGCTTCACCCCGTTTTCATGATGTCACAAGTCTTCTTTTTCTACTCTTATACGTCCCTGGGAAGGATGAATGTTTTCTGGTTATCTTTAATGTCATCGTGGAAGCTTTTGACAATATATTCAGTTATTCACTAATACAACCAGAAGCAGAACTAACGTGCTAATGATGAATCTCACAGCAACCTCACCAATTCCAAATCCTAAGACTATAGTAGTTTATAACAATTACCTGATTGTGGTATGTTACAATAAGGTTCGATTACTTTATAATTCTAGTAAAGAAGCTGATTTTGAAATATTGTTCCTATGAAACATGATACATATCGACTTTCTTCAAATTCATTATACTTGGGAAAATGGGAAAAAAAAAAAGGAATACTAGCTAGCAGCTTCACCATATGCCATTTAACGCTGGCAGCATGTCCTACGACAGAATAAAATATAAGATTACCATAAACACTGCGCCAAAGTAAAGGGAATCTACACTCATGGAAAAGATAAAGACTCGGACAGAAGGAGAAGAGGGGATTACGTTTTGAACTATTATTATAATCCAATTTGAAGTCGCATCTCGATGAAAGATCACGGGGATAGAATTCCCAAGAAAGCATCCTACTCTTGGTTTGTTTAGCGATAGGAATGATTGAAAGTATTCCTGAAGATCAATGTATCCCAATAACACAAACATTACAAGGAAAATAGTCAACTTTTTTTTTTTTTAATAAACACCCATATGCAAAAACTTGAAAGATGCCAAATCCCCCCCAACTACTAAGTTTTCTTTTAACATTTTGTATCTGGACATGAATCAATGCAATGAGTATCAGAACTCAGAAGTAGTACGCAAACGGTAATCCCGAAAAGAAATATAACAATTACGCGTGCAAACCTGTAAAAATATAGTCAACCGTAGAGGTTGCCAAGCAAATTCGAAGGATAATCAAACATAATCGAAGCCTCAGCCACCTAAAGCAGGATGTCCGGAATGAGGATCAGGTGACCAGAAATTCCATAACTCGAAAGCTCGAATGGACATATAGCAGATACCGCGATAGAGAGAAGAGCGAACACTGGTAAGGACAGCAAAAAATGGATTTCCTGTGCAGTGAAGAAGAAGCCGTAGGCTGCAGCTACCAAAAGAGCAGGCATGGGCTGTTTAGAAACGAATAGTTCTCTGTTCTTCAAAATAAAAAAATAAAAAAAAAATTATTTGATAATATATTTTTAAAAAATATTTTAAAAAATAAAAAAATAAAATATTATTTTAAAAAACAGAAAAATAAAAATAATTTTAAATATTCTATAATTATTATTTTGGAGAAGAAGAGAGAATAAAAAAAACACTTATTTTTATTATTTTTTTATTTTTAAAATATATTTTATAGAATATCAGTTTTTAAAATAATAAAATAAAAATAATTTTAAATAATCTCATGATTGCTACAGGATTTTCTGCTCTAATAAATTAATGCTGTGACCAATGTTATCACTAAGTCAAAAAAGTTAAAATTTAAAACAAATAAAGTCCTTAACTATTAATTCGTGAATGATTCTTTAATTTTAATTAAAAAATATTTTTTTGTAATGAGGGGAGATCATTTAAATTAAAACATAATTAATTAGTATTTATTTTTAAAAAAATGAGTTCTCATTTTAATTATAATAGCAATTATTAGTGCATGTGAACCCTAAAACATAAATTGTCACACAAATATTGTCTAATTGGGTAACTTATCGGTATATAACTCTTATAAAAGAAATTTAAAAAAAACTATACTTACATTTTTTTATAATTTTTCATTAAATATTTATTAAACAGATTGAATAAAAAATAAAAATTTAACACAACATTAAATGAATAGATCTGCAATAAAGGAAGAAACATCTATCAAGATAAATGTATATTTTTGGCTCAAAAACATTTTTAAGAACCACTCAAAACTCTAAAATATTAGTTTAAGTAATTTTATTTTTAAAATAATTAAAATAAAATATTTTTTTAATATTAAATTCTCAATGATCGTTATAAAATATTAATCAGAATTCTAACATTAACCAATATTTTATTTTAATTATTTTAAAAATAAAATTACTCTGACTTTAGAGTGCTATATATTCCTTCAAAAATATTTTAAAGATAAAAATATATCTTTAACCTTTTAAGTAACAAACAAGTTAGCCACAAAAGATTAATACCTCTTACATGATATCTTTTAGAAAGAAAAAAAAAAAATTGTCCTTGATACAAGAACATGGAGGATCATTTATTACTATTTTTTTTCTTTTATTTCTATTATAAATTTAATTTTATGTATCATTCCTCATGATATACTGTGGATCTCTTCCTTCCTATTTTTAATATGAGTAAAGTAAAAAAATATTTTAAAATATATTTAATGAATTAATTATTATTTTTTGGTTGCAGTGAAATAATTAAAAACAATCTATGACAGGGACATGAAAGAATATGTAACAAAAGAAAATAACTGGTTTATTTGAAGATCTAGGGCGGTTGGAATAATCCTTGTAGCCTAATTTAGAGGTCAAAATCATTAATTTATAAAAATATATTCAAATACTCTGAGCTTATTTGGATACACATTATAAAAAATTACTTAATATAATTGATTATATTATGTGATATGAGTGTATTCTTATTTAGATAATCTCAACAATTAATTTTAGAAATTAAAATTATAATTTTGTAAAAATATATTCATACATCTCATATTATATGTTAAAATCAATCAATTAAATTCAAAATCATGTCTTTCTAAAATATCAAAACACTCGCTATGCGTGTTTAAATCAATTATGACCCAAAAATTATAGTATTCTTAAAAATATACAAACGCTTCTACACATATCAAAATAAATTATAAATCTAAAAAAATAATTTGTAAAAATAGTTTATAACTCATGATCTTTTACAAAATTTTAAAAAAGCTAAATTGAGAAGCAGGTAATAATATCTTATAATATAACTGTGGTTTTGTGTTGAGAAGTGACTTTGCCATATATAAGATTATTTATATATTTTTAAAAAACTTGTTACCAAATATATATTTAAGAAAATTATGGTTTTCATACTATGACCTTCCTTCTATTTTACTAAAATTACAAAAACCTCCTTCCTTTTTTCAAAACATATATTTTAGTCTAATTTTTAATAAAATTAAGAATATTCTATTAAAAATTTTAAAATATTTATTTTTTTCTTGTAATTAGTTGGAAAATTTACCATTACTAATTTACCCTTGTAAGTATACCCTCTCTCTCTCCAAATTTAATGAACTTTAAAAATTAATTATGACACCATTTAAATTAATAATTTAAAATTATTGTTAGAAATTGAAAAAAATTTACAAAACAAAATAAAACAAAATAAATTACATTAAATATTTTATCTCTTATTATATTAATACCTATTTCATTAATTTTTTGTGCACGTGTGTTTGAAAAAATAGTAAATAAATAATTTGACATAAGAAAAAATAAAATACTAACAAAAAAGGAAAGTATATGCATTAGTTTTTTTTGGTATTTTAAATTATTTTCATATAATATTTATATTTAAAAATTAATATTTTGGCCCAATAAATGTGACTTGACGATCAACTAACAATTAGGTGGAGTTGTAACATTCTAGTTTTATTTAAAAATTTAATTAAAATATCATGAGATTTAATTAAAAATCAAATTGTGTTTTGAGAAAAATCAAAGTTAATGAGTTTAAGCTCCCTTTCTATGTAGAAAAAAGTCCAATATTAAAGTTAATTTTATGTCTCATTAAGTAAAGCGGATAGGGATTAGATTAAGTCATGGGAGACAAGCCATACAAGAGAGAAAAGAAAAGAATGAAAACTATTTTTGCATCTTCAAAGGGTAGTTTTAATAAATTAACATTTGTGAGTTCATTAACCATTAGATTGAGTTGAAATTTGACTAGCAGGTTTGTAAAATCCAAATTGTCATTTTCAATGATTGGATTGTTGATTTGTTGCTTGATATGAGATTTATTCAATTCATCATTCATAACTATTTTTGCATTTTTATAAGGTAATCTCAATAAATTAGTATTGTAAAATTTGTTAACAGTTGAATCGGGCTGAAATTTGTTCAACACATTTGTAACATTTAACTTGTCATTTTCAACAATTAGATCGTTGATTCATTGCCTAATGTGATAGTTATTTACTTCAACATAGAATAAGATTTGCCGAGATTAATGAAATTAACTAATATAATCCTAGAATTAGTATGATATTAGTGTTAGCTTTTGTAATTAATTAATATGTGTTTGATGTAAAATGGGAAGGGAAGAGGGGAATAGAGGAAAAGAAGGAGGAAAAAGGCTAAAATTTTCATAAACTCTGATTCAATAATATTCAAAAGCTAAATACAAATGAAAAACCTAACTTTATTTATAGAACTCTAAAAATAATAAAATAATAATAATAATTTAAATCAAAATCTCAAGTCCTAAATTTAAATATAATCTTAAAGATATCAATATCTAAGATAACTATAAAGTAAATAATAAATCCTAATTCTAATAGATAAATATACTTATTTAAATGTATCTAATATATAATCCTAATATCTTAAATAAATATTAATTATCCTAATTAACCATTATCCCTTATTCCATCAGCATTATTGTTAATTAGTGTTTGGACTAAAATATAAAATGTCACTCACCAAAGTATTGGGTAGGTCATAAAGTTATTTAGGCCGAGTGATTAAAGAGTCAGGTCCAATCAATAATCTAAATAAAGGGGTCGACCCTGAACTCAATGGAAAGCCACGACAGGATGAGCATGTCGAAATCCTGTTAGTTGCAAACCTTAGACTGTTGGCGCATAAAGACACGATCTCAAATAATTTCAAAATTCATGAGAGCAGCATCATCGTGCCTAAGTATCTCAGTGAGACAAGCTAGTTGTCAAAAATGAAAGAGATTGAGTAAAAATCGTGCCATGAGTTTTACGGGATCCTCGATTCTTTAACAGAACATTCTAGGTCCTAAAGGAGAAACCGCCACTAATCTAACACTATAAATAGAATGCCAAAGCATAAAAGAAAGACAGTCAACACTAAAAAAGACTCGCATTTTATACCCATAGCTTTTAGGTTTATCAATTAGTTTTATCTTCAATTTAGACTTGTAATTTTTTCACATTTCAGTAATAACAAAAAACACTTGTTCTACTAAGTCTTGCGTATCTTTTACATCCGGGTGAATTATGGTAAAAGAACTCAAGACCTTTTTGTTATCAATTGAGACTCAGCATATTTAACACACCTGATAATTTATTGTTCACAGACGAACAATTAGCATAATTTTGTTGTGAACACCATAGATGATCACTTTCGTATTTAGGAAACTTTACTATCGAATAATAGATATAATCACTTCTTGATGTTATATTTTATGTTCCACAAATTTGAATCATAAAATATATGCATTAAAAATCCACATGTTAGATTAAACTCTATTTTATTGAGAAAATATATTACTAAATAAGATATTAATTGTTTTATGAGAAAGTGGCTAGAATAAAAAAATATGTGTTGGAAAACATGAGTTTTAATGCCATGTATTTATGTTTATTGGAACTGTTTTTAATTGCATGAAATGTTACTGTATTGCATATTTGATTATTTTACATGGTTTATTTCACCCTATATTTAGTTGCAAAGACATTTGTGTATTGTTCCCTATTGTTAATATTTTTATAGGAATGGAACTAGCAGAAAAAGTATTAAGAGAGTGATTTAGTTTATGTTGACATCTATAGACCCAATTGGCCTCTTTCGTATATTTGTCAACCTAAGATCATTTTAAACATGATGAATATATAGGCGTTGAAATTTATTCTACCTTACACATAACGGCAATGAGTCTCCTGTATGCTTTTCATGGGCAAAATGTAAATTTTCTCTTTTATTCATTTTATATATATTGGCCGTGAGACTTCTATCTATCTCTCATGGTATTAAATTGATTTTTAGAATATTATGTTATGATTTCAGATTTGAAACTTTTAGTATAACCGTGTTGGGTAACTATCACTTAATTATGTGATTATCTTGTGTTTTGTGTATATCATTCAAAATATCTAATAACTAAT